TTATTATTATTATTATTATTACTATTATTATTTAATAATAAAGCCCCCATTGGACGGATCTCGTTCGTGCCACTAATTAATTAAATACTCCATTAATTAATTGATTGATTGATTTCAGGGCACGATATTCAGGACGAATTAATTAATGAGCGGCGATCATTTAACGAAGGCACGGTGTTTTATGTATAAATTATCTTCGGAAATTCTTACTGATGGCTCTTGCTCAGTAAATGCGAGTTGAACTGGTAGAGGTTACAGCACTGCTCGCCACAGATGTTGCACTTCCACGGATTACTCTCGCTGTGGCATCCCTTGTGAAGGAAGTAGAGAGTTTGATCGGGGAAGGTGATCCTGCAGTGGGCGCATTGGAGACCGATGATGGTCCTTTGGTCCGGTCTGGTCGAACTCGGCGGCTCGCCTCTCGAGTGGACACTCGAATTCGAACCACTGTTACCTGGGAATTATTCGTTAATGGATCAAATCTATTGTTTAAATTCAGTCGTTGATAGGTCTGTTATTAATGGGCGGATTCAGTTCGTTCACGGCTGAAATTAAAGCTTGAACTCTTTACTTTAATCCTTCGATATCTGAGAATTTTACGTAAATCGACTTCTAGGGAAAGAAAATTGACTCTGAATCCTCGTACAATTTTAAAGATTCTATCCTAATGAATAATATTATTAAACTTGAATCGTTGATAACTTCGTTAATAAAGAACCGATTTAGTTCGTCTGTGGCTCAAATTAAACCTCGAACCTCTTTACTTTATCCGAGTTTTTCTTCGAAATCTCGATAAAACGCTTCCCAAGCCATTACCATTATTATTGTTGTTGTTATTGTTGTTATTGTTCCCAGAGCCGGAGGAGAGCTTCCGCCTTAGATCGTCTCTGAGCAGCGATTTCAGCGGCGACACTTTGATCAATGATGGCAAAGGGAGATTGCTAGAAGTCGCGCCGTTCTCTTCAGTTCCATTACTGTTCGGCTCTTGTTTTATTGGTATCAACGATATCGAAGGGGTAATCGCCTCCTCGCTACCCCCGAGGCTCCTTAAAACAAAACCAACCTCGATTCACAATCGAACTCTATCTTTTAATACTGATTGATCATTTCGTTAAGAACCTGTGCACACTGCTGCTGTTCACAGTCAGCTGATGGTGACTGCTGCTAGGAGCGTTATTACTATTACTGTCAGCGCTCTGGGGACTGTTCGGACTGTCCCCGTTTAGAGGAGTAGGACTGGAGCTCCTCTGGCCACCGGCGCCGCCGCTCGTTTGTTCCGGATAAGGTATTGAGATCTCGATATGAGGCGTTAAGAAATGCATCGGTGGCGTCGCGTTGTCCGCGGAACGATTACCACCGCCCGTGCTATCTCCACTATCTGACAGAGGTGCAGATGAAGGCATGGCTTCCACGGACGTGCAGCTATTCAGCAGAGAGGCCGAGGTGTTCGGGCCGGGGTTGTCTAAATCGATACCGTGCCTGGCACATTCGAATTACGATCAATTTTAATAATAATGGGACGATTTTGCTAATTCTGAGCTCTGATTAAAGCGTGAAATTTGGAATTTAACGAAGTTTCTCTTCGAAATTTTAATAAAGGCTGAAAATCGACCGTTCAATAAAATGTTGTCTACTTAAATGGCACTTGTACCTGTTGAAAAAGTGTAGCCTGAGGCACTTCATCGTCGCAGCCCTGTAATTGCACAACGGGCAAGACTTGACCATGTCGTGTTGGCCCACGTGTTCGTTTTGAAAGTGCGCCCTCATCGCGATCTGTCGTTGAAAACCTCGGTTGCAGATCGGGCAGTGGTACGGCAGGGTCTTTGAGTGCGTGGTGAAATGCTCCGCGAGATGATCCTTGCGGAAGAAACGCTTCTGGCAAACCCGGCATTCGTACGGCTTGACGCCGGTGTGCCTCATCTAAGAACAAGTCTGTTATCATTAAACGCGAATCGGAATCATTTTTAAGCGCTGCCGATGACGAGATTGGTAATGGACCTTGTGCCGCCTCATGTTGGCTCCGTTCGAGAACTGCATGTTACAGACGTCGCATTCGAATATCTTGCGATGGGATGAGCGTATCCCGGTGTGATTGTCCTCGCCGTCGGCGTCATTTTCCGTTTCCTGGTTACCTTCGGACGTGATTATCACGTTGCCTTCTGTGTGCTCCACGGAATTCGCTAAGCATTGTTCCTGATGAGCGCAAAACGCCGTCTTGTTTATCGTCTCGTAGTTCTCACAACGCTCGCACCTGCGAATTAATATATATTCCATTGTAATTATTGTACTACTTGGTTCTTTAATTATTGTTAACGAACCGGTTAAGATAGCTTACTGAAACTTGATAAACACTTAAATAGGAACCTTATGAAGGTTCTTTATAAATTTCAACGACTTCCCTTCATTAGAACCAAAGTTTTTGCCATTTGAACTGACAAACGGGAATTAGAATAGAAATCACTTTTATATTAAGTATATTTTTATAAATAACTGTATGAATATCGAAGATAGCTTTATGAAACTTGAAAGAACCTTCGATAGAACCTTCTCGTAGATTTCACTCAAGTTTCATTGAATCCCCTTGATTATAACGAAAGTTATTGCAATTTGAAATCAGGAATCATTATTAACCGTTTGAGTCCCAAGGGGTATTGAAAAAACACTCAGTCAACAATCCCGAACAGCGCGACCGCGCTTTCTCTAAATGAATACTGAGATTTTTCGACACAAAATCTGAAGAGCGCGATCGCGCTGCTTGGGACTCAAACGGTTAACAATAAAATAATACACATACAACTTGGTCTTACAACTATAATTTCTACACTGATAAATATATCTTAATGAAACTTTGTACACACTTAGATAAAGCCTTCCTACAAGTATTGCCCAAGTTTCATTAAATTCCCTTTAGTAGAACGAAAGTTATTCCAATTTAAAGTGAAGAGCTTAAGTACAATAAACCTCATGGAACGATCAAGTTAACCTGAAGGCAGGAACAGCCCCATCGCCGCTGTCATAATTAGTATTCAAGGCAGCCTCGTTATCACCATCCAAACAGTTATCGTCGTTGTCCCTCGACGCATCCCGGTGCGAACACGAGTGGGAGTCTACCTCATTTTCCCCGCCGCCGGCGTCAACTCCATCTGACATGTTATTTGGCCCAGCGTCCAACACCGGCTCTCCTTTTTAACGCACATTCATCATCAGCTACCTACAAACATACAAACATTCTCTTAATCCTGGAACCAAAGAAAGGAATGGGAAAGATTTCCATTCAGAAGATGACCATCAAGCTGGTCGTAGTTCAATGGGAATTACCGACCTAATTTCATTGCTAATTCGAGTTACGTTCTATTAAGAAATTAGTTAGAGTCTGAAACGCATTTGGCAACGATTCACAAGAATCTCTCGTTGATCTACAGGAATTCTAACCTCGAGAAGTCAAAATCGATCACGAAGTTGAATTAAAGGTCAGATCACCTATTGTCGTACGATTTCCATTAAGAATGATGCTCGAGATTTTAGTTAACGACCCGATAAGATATAACTGAAGGATCTTCGAGAAGATTTGATAGAAAATCCGTCTGTTTACCTGTCAGTCTCCATTGAGCCGCGGACTGTTGGCCAATCTGCCAGCAGAGGAGGACGGACGAGTACGATTTAAATAGAGACGGAGAACGCGGACGGCAGCGAGTGCAGTGCACTTTGTCCCAGTTTTCGTTCGAAAACGGAGGAAGGGGAGGTCTCTCTTTTTCCTCGTGACGTAGTTCTCGCATACAGAGCGCAACCTAATAATCTTGCCTAACCTCCAACGCTCCTTGTCGAACGAATTCAATGCATGTCCTCGACGCTTCCACGGTTTATTGCTGATCGACGATCAACTTCAAATCACCGAACTGTTGATCGACAGGGAAATAATAAATAAAACGGGCCACCGTTTTGCGAACTGGACCGAATGGAACGAACACACCCTCTCTCTCACTCATGCGTTACGCGACACGCTTCACTCATCCGTTCGATTCGAGGGATCTATGATGGCGGCACGCTTCGATAATCGATTCACCGATCGACAGTTTTCAACATGTCGTTTGTTTAGGATGGATAAATAACCGTAGATTTCATTTATTTATATAATACATCGTTTATTTGTCGATAATTTAAATAAGGAACAGTGGATTTTATATTTATTTCGCTCTTAATGAACGTTTGATCTGTAAGAAGTGGAAATCTAATTTAAACAGTTCGATCTTCATGCAAGCGCGACGTCCTGAGAGGTAAAATTTAAATTATAGAAGTTGAAACGAAAATGATTAATGTAGATGATTACTACTGATTACGAAAAAAAGATTAGATGAGCCGTAGAAAGCCCGAAGCGTAGCATTCTCATAATTCGCGCGTTACGCGACTTCACTTCGTTCGATCCAAAATGGCAGCACATTTCGATTTTCGATCGCCGATCGATAGTTTTCAACATGTCCGTTTAGGAAGCAACAGATTCATTTTATAATACACTGTTTATTTATTGAAAATTTAAATAAGGAACAGTAGATTTTATATTAATTTCGTTCTTGATGCAAGTTTGATTCCTAAAAAGTGGAAATCAGATTTAAACCGTTCGCTTTTAGTGCAAGTGCGACGCCCTGAGGGTTGAAATTTGTACCTCGTCGAATTTAAAAAATTGAAACGAAAATGGTTAATATAGAAGATTACGAAAAAGAATTGAAGGAGATGTGCGAGAAAGCCCGAGGAGCAGGATTCTCCCAATCGCAAGTTGACGAGGCACTGAACCACAGTTTTGCTATTGTGCAAAAGAGGAATCGAAACAATTCTTATTGGATTAAATATATGCTCTTTGCAAGTTTCTTAATGTTTCTATGTCTCTTTGTGGGAATTGGATACGATAGGAAGTATCTAATGACAACAGTTCAAAGGAACTTGCAAAATTTCATATACCCTGGCTTAAAATTATGGAGGATTTTGGCTTTGTCCGTGATTCACAATTACCCTTCTTTATCAGGTAAAATTCCATTATTCCACCAAGCGGATTAAATAAATGTCATAAAACTGGTATCCAATCGTTAATCCATTGATTTTAGAATTGTACGATGAATGGTGTTTAATAGAGAATCCATTATTCTATGTTAACGAAATGGACTGCGGGCCCTGCAGCATAGTCAACTTCGTCCCAGATTTGATGAACCACTCAATCTCCAGGTCGTTCGATCCTGGGATTCCTTACTGCAAGACAGAAGACTTCACCGAATTGCAAATGAACGATATTAGAAGGTTGATTCAGGAGAATCAAGGAGTATTCGAAAGGAATGCGCATAAGGTGGTTTCCAACAATCGAACTTACAGGTATTTCTTAATTTTCTGTGCCACTGACAATAAGATACAGACCCTGGGACTTTCATATGATTTCAGGACTATAAACGATTTGATGCAAATGGGAGATTCTTCGATGGAAAGGAGAAATCATATCGGTTGGAGAATAAATCGTATGGAGCCGGCTAGGATCGTGCGTGAACTGTTCCCAAGGCCAAGGGAAACGCCGTTATGGTTCGAACAGAGCATAGAGAGATTCATTCTGTTCGACGAAGCCGAATCTCCGGCGTACTCGTTGGTAAATAACGACAATGACGTCGAGTTCGTTTATCGATCAAAGGATTTGATGATTAATCGATTTGGTAGCCTGCCACGGAGTGTGCGAACGTGATGGTCAGGGTAGCGGCAGGCACGAGGCTGATTAGGATCATTGCGAGCCCCGAGTGTCATTCGTCTTGCGAACCGAAGACGGTTTTATTATCTCCAGGGAAGATTCGTAAGTTACCTCGATTCTTTACTGTCTCAATATTTCGCGGGTTTCTTTCCTCACCGATTCTGACGAATGAAATTTAATGAAAAACTTCAGAGACCTCTTACCATTTCCACAGTACACGTTTGAACGTTTTCTATCCGCAATTAATATATTTAAATGATATTTAATTAAACAGTGTGGTACAACTGGTGGTACTGGCGACCGGTAAGCCTGCCCGGTGGCGTTGACCCAATGAGCCTTACGATAACTTACATCGCGTCCTTCTGCTAATTCATGCGCAAGGTAAACAAAACTTTGAGCTTGGCAGCAAAATTAAATTGTCCTAACAACAGTAATTAAATAGAACTCCTTAATCGAACTTCTGCCGCAGCTTCCGTTTGAAGAGCACCGGCAGCAGCGAAAGAAGCGCGAACAAGCATAGAACGCCGACGCTGTTCCAGGACCAAGCGTCAGCGGACGAGGTCAAATTTTGCAGGGTCTGTCCCGCTTGAATTGCGACAAAGGATGGCGGCGCCACGCCGAAGAACGTGCCGACGGCGAATGGAAACAGAGGCACTCCAATTATCGGGCTCGCCAGGTTTATGAACCAGTTAGGCAGCAGCGGAGTCATTCGTAGGAACAGCATGTAGTTCAGCAGGTGATCTTTGTGCTTCCTCACGGCCAGAGTCCACTCCTTCGCTTTCTCTGGGAAATATTTGAAGAGGAGCTTCCGACCTAGTAAAGAGGAGAGCAAGTAGCACAGGGAGGCTCCTACCGCACTACAGCTGCAGACTAATGCCAGGGCAATTGGGAATGGAAAGAGGAAACCTGAAAGGATCGACAAGAAAATCGAACCTGGAATTGCAAACGTCTGCAAGCTGAGATTCGTAGTTAAGGATTTCCATCAAAGATTAAGCATTCGACGTTTCCACTTTTGATAGAGCTTTCTTCGAAGGATACAATATATAAGTGATGAACAATCCAGCAAGCACTTGGAAATAATACAGATCCTTGTATCGTCCAAGTATCCTGCCCAATGTCTTAGCCTCCTCTATGTGGAACGGCAGTTTCATGTGCTGACGTTCATCTCTGCAAGTTGTATTAGGCTTAATCAAATTCATTCAGAAGGTAAACACAGAACAATGTAGTCTACATACTCGGTCAGCTCTGGGAAACTTGCGTATACATAGATTAATGCTGAGAGTGAGGCTATGAAGATCACAGTCACTGTGAACAATGCCCTCCTTGTCGATGGCTCAGTACATGCTGAAAATAAAGTAAAAACGAATTTATTTACTTAATAGTAACCGTTGATTAAGGTAACGAAATATTTGAAATAATGTTCTTTTAATAAGAACTGTCAAGTAAACGAGGTTAGGTTTTGCAAGCTGCGCTACAAGAAATACAATTGAAAATCGATGAACAATATTTTCGATTGAAATCGTTGACTGACCACGCGATCACGTTAATATCGTGTTAAATCATGAAATACGAGCGAGCAAACGCAGCGAACGCGAGTCAGCGATTTCACGATTCTTTTTCCACTCTTCCATTTCGTTTAAACGCACGTCATTCTACTGTACTATATTTATGATTGTGTCACGCTACCGGCATTTTGTTGTTTTATCTTAGACTCGGCTTCCATAATAAACAATTTCGTTGCAATAATATATACGACACGATTCGTCGTGTGCACGAATCGATCGAATGCACGCACGCACGCTGCTGACGCACGCAAACTCGGACTCGTGCTTTTTAATACGGTGGGTCGGACAGTTTTTGTTAATAAAATACTTGAAATGATTATTTTGCGCTTTCGATCGATAGTTTCGTTTAATTCTCTTCACTAAATGTTTTACGTTAAGTTCTCTTCATTAAAAGTTTCGTTTAATTCTCTTCATTGAATATTTAAAGTGGTATAAGGGTACTTCGATCATAGCGCCGTGCGTTGACGAACGGTGAAACGTAAAACCAGGGATCTCGTAACTTTACGTGCACGGCTCGCTTCCCCTCTTTTTCGCCCGTATTTCGATCCCCACTACTATTCCCCTCATGCCTGCTCATGCGCGTTCGCGAAGCTCTCCGCAGCGCTACCGTGAAAATCACTGCATACCCCCACCAACTATTGGTCCCCACCATGGTCGCGTCGTCCCCACTTTCCGCTTGCACGTAAAGTTACGAGATCCCTGCGTAAAACTCAGGTTTCAGATTTGCGGGCCATGCCAAGAGCTTCCCATTGACACCGCAGTGGCGTTTTCAGTTGCGCGCATGCGTGCCGTACAATCGCATAAAATAAAATGTACAGTACAGTAGTGAGGAAAAGAAATGGTGTACGCGCAGCGTCTCCTCGTATCGTATGCCGTTTCGCCTTGCAGTGAATCTAAATAAGAGTAATTAAACGCGATAAACATTGCCGCTTACGGTTCGAATTAGCAATCGGTGCGGAACAAGCAGGAAGACAGGCGCTGGCAGTTCGCGAATCTCGGTCACAAGTGCATCCGGGTTAACGATACTCTCTAAACAAAAAAATCGAAATTGTTTACTCCTGTCGATTACTTTCAAGCCTCAAGCATGACAGAGGAGCACCGGTTGCCGTCGGATTCTGACGAGGACGATGAGGACTATGTGCCTGAGGCAGTGGACAGTGTTTCAGAGGCAGAATCCGAAGGTGAGGCCGAGAGCGATCCCGAGGCGGGGAATGCGGACGTCGGAAACAAAAACAAATGTCGGTCAAAGCATAAACGGAAGACTAAAAGGAGAAGAGTCGAGATAAAATCAGCAGATGATGATGTTAGGAAAGAGGAAGACAAGAAGCTTACAGAGGAGGAAGAGAAGAAAAGGGCTGATTCCCTCTGGGCAGACTTCATGAAGGATACAGGTAAAGACTTAAAAACCAGCATAGATTCAATAGAATTTATGTTAAATTTCTTCTATATTAAAGGTACAGCAGCCGGGGCCAGTCTGCAGGCTCCTACCAAGCAAATGAATGATTCCAAACCAGAGGAGAAGGTGAAAATCACCAAAGTGTTTGAGTTTGCCGGTGAGGAAGTGAAAGTCGAGAAGGAAGTATCAATAAACTCAATGGAGGCAATGAGATCGCCGCGGCTGGAAAAAGTAGAAAGCCTAGGGCAGTCGACGAGAGGCAGAGGCGTGAAACGCGGCGGGATCTCGTCTATACTTGGACAGCTTGGTAAACGAGCGAAGATCAGCACTCTGGAGAAGTCAAAACTGGACTGGGACAATTACAAGAAGCAGGAGAACCTCGAAGAGGAGATCAGCACTCATAATAAGGGGAAAGGTGGTTACTTGGAGCGTCAGGACTTTCTGCAGAGGGCAGATCTTCGCCAGTTCGAAATCGAGAAACAAATGCGCACCGCCAGCAGGCGTAGCAATCGGTGAATCGGCGAGGAAGCGAGAGAGAAAAAAAGAGACTACGATCATTCCAATCGACGATATAGACTTTGACGCTTGTAGGACATTATATTTTCGTTTCACTGCCTCCGATCTTCGTTTCGTTAATAAAGTATTTTGTAAGGGAACCTGATTGTAAAATAGAACACGAGTTTTATTAGAATTTAAGGCAGCAGCACGCTCTCTCTCTCTCTCTCTCTCTGTTTGTGTTTCAACCGTGGAATTTCACTCGCCGTCCCTGGAATTATTTACAAACAATAGGTAACTTCGTTAATTACTCGTACATTTTACGTTTCATTTTACCGAATTATTTCTAAGAGAGATTTTGGAGCAACATCTTCGAACGGGACACGTCCTACAGGGTCTCCTTTCAGAGTCGTTATTCCTTTTACCGCATCCTGGCCTGTAAAACGACAATTAAATAGAATTCGTTTAATCGCTGGATCATTTATTATTGATTGTATTAGCTTTTGGCATCTGGTAAAAGGATTCTTGAGGCCGTGGATCTTTTTACGCAGATTGGACAGTCCCCTAGCGAATATGTTCCTCCTACAAATCGTGGGAATGTCTGTTTTAATCGTTGAGATTCTATCTTTGAAGAGCATCATTTTTATACTGACTTCGATCTTGCCGGCTTGCAACGGCAGACGCGAACCTCACTTCCCCTTTTCTTTTTCTTTGACAAACAGAAAATTAAGATTGAGTCGATACATACCAAGTGTCAATAGTCATTCCTCTAGCTTCAACAATTTTTTCTCAAAAACTATGGAGGCTATGTATATGATTCCTGAATATGTTCCAGATGTAGCATTCCTCTAGTTTTATGAATTTCAGCTTCCTATCATAAATACCTCCGATTTTATAACTATCCATATATAACATGATTTTGATATTGTCATTTCTTAAGATTTCAAGGTTTATGAATTTTTTTTTCAAAAACCATCGAGGCTATTTAAATAATTACTGGACATATTCCAGATATAGTATTCTTATAGCTTCAGGAATTTTCACAACCTCCTATCTTCGATACTTTTCTCTCTACATTTATTTATACGAAATGCAATTTTAATATTGTGACTCAATAAGGTCGCAAACTTTGCGTGTTTTTCTCTCAGAAACTATTGAAGCTATTTAAGTGATTCTAAGATGTCTCCTAGATATATACCAATCCTCTAGCTTAATCAATTCGTTCACCTCCCTTAGATATCAGACGAATTACTTTATTTTTCGCGCAACAGCACTCGTCGTATTTAGCGAGGATGGTGCATTTGGAAGGGCACTTGCAGCGTTTCTTCACGGTCAATGTGGAGCTCCCCTTCCGCACACAGACGCAGAGCCCGCTACTCGCCTGAGTCTTCTTCTTTTTCTTCGTGCAACGAGTCCTGCAAGGGGACCCGAAACGCGACGACCGACAGGGCGATTGTACGCACCGGGAACGTTTCCTAGGCTTCCTACGGGTTTCGCACGCCTCCCCGCAGTGGCAGGACCTCTTCCTTGATCCCCGACACGGGGATTTCGATCTAAAACATTTATGCTCAGAATTCTCACTATGATACTGTTTTTATAAGTGGACAATGCTTGATTCAAATTTCATTTTACAACCCTTGGGTGTAGCAAAGTTTCAAAGAGGAACTTGGTTAGAGAGTTCAAGCTTTAATTTCAGTAGTGAACAAACTGAATCGGACCATCATTAACGAAGTTATTAACGATCGCAGTCGAACAATTTTTCTGATCTGACCTATCAAGCTTTAATTTCAAAACACATTTATTTTGTCTCTAGAGTTCTAACTAGTAGCGATATCTCACTGCGATACTATTTTTCTAAGTAGACTAGGTTTAATTCAAATTTGATGTTCAACCCTTAGGAGTCGGTTCGAAGAAGGAATCGGGGAAAGTAGAGAGTCCAAGTTTTTATTAACGATTGAAGTCGAGCAATGGTTCTGTATCAAGCTTTGATTTCATTTACCGTAGTCTCGGGGTCGACGTCGCGCAGTCCACAGTCGCCTGACACTTCTTGCTAAGTAAGCAGCAAATCTCGTTTAATTTTCAATAATAAGCGAATACGCCTATTTTCTAAGGATTCTCTTTACTTTCTACAGGCTCTGCGATGTACCCTGGCCTTCTTCTCGGTAGACTTGCTTTTCGTCCTCCTCTTCGTACCCTTCGACGTGCTCGCTGAACACGGTCTAAGAGAAACATCATTCCCAGTAAGTTTAATTACCCTTGTCATTATCGAACTGCAAGAACCTTGCTCGCTGTTGATTCGCCGGGCAAACTGGATCCTGGCATCTAGCCATATCTGTCGTTCCTCCCACGGTTCCCTATTCTACCTTTACTCGTTGTTATCATTGCGTAACAGCCCGTACACCTTCCCATTAATTCCAATTGCCATCGCGATTCATCATGATTAACAAATTTTAATGAAGGATTCTAATCGTGGATTTGATCCCCCTTAAACATTTTATTAAACTTGTCACCGATCAATTCTCGAATTCTCTTGTGTACAAATTCATTTGCAACGAAGATCGCCGATGTTAATTGATTCCGCGAATATGTCAGCGGCTGCAGAACAATTCATAAAAATCGGATGTGTACATAATTTTAGGAATATTGCGAGCCTGTTAAAAGAATTGAATTCTTATGTCAGAATGACAGAATTTTGATTTCATTTATGAAACAATATGAATGCAACAATGACAGAATTTTGTAATTTTGTATAATTCTTAATACATGATTTA